ACCAATGACGAAGAAGAGCATTTCCAGTGTACTGTGTGCAACAAGAAATTTACGAGAAGTGGTAATCTCCGCAGACATCTTCGAACCCACACAGGAGAACAGCCTTTTGAGTGTGCTGTGTGCAACAAGAAATTTAACCGGAGTAATGGTCTCCGCTCACATCTTCGAACACACACAGGCGAACAGCCTTTTGAGTGTAGTGTGTGCAACAAGAAATTTGCAGATAGTAGTAATCTCCGCACACATCTTCGAACCCACACAGGAGAACAGCCTTTTGAGTGTACTGTCTGCAACAAGAAATTTACGAGTAGTAGTAATCTCAGCACACATCTTCGAAGCCATACAGGCGAACAGCCTTTCGAGTGTAGTGTGTGCAACAAGAAATTTGCAGATAGTAGTGGTCTTCGCTTACATCTTCGAACTCACACAGGAGAACAGCCTTTTGAGTGTAGTGTGTGCAAGAAGAAATTTACGGGTAGTAGTCATCTCCGCAGACATCTTCGAACACACACAAAAGAACAGCCTTTTGAGTGTAGTGTGTGCAACAAGAAATTTGCACATAGTAGTAGTCTCCGCACACATCTTCGAACCCACACAGGAGAACAGCCTTTCGAGTGTACTGTGTGCAACAAGAAATTTACGAATAGTAGTAGTCTCCGCAGACATGTCCGAACCCACACAGGAGAACAGCCTTTTGAGTGTAGTGTGTGCAACAAGAAATTTGCTGATAGTAGTAGTCCGGAGTAATGGTCTCCGCTCACATCTTCGAACACACACAGGCGAACAGCCTTTTGAGTGTAGTGTGTGCAACAAGAAATTTGCAGATAGTAGTAATCTCCGCACACATCTTCGAACCCACACAGGAGAACAGCCTTTTGAGTGTACTGTCTGCAACAAGAAATTTACGAGTAGTAGTAATCTCAGCACACATCTTCGAAGCCATACAGGCGAACAGCCTTTCGAGTGTAGTGTGTGCAACAAGAAATTTGCAGATAGTAGTGGTCTTCGCTTACATCTTCGAACTCACACAGGAGAACAGCCTTTTGAGTGTAGTGTGTGCAAGAAGAAATTTACGGGTAGTAGTAATCTCCGCACACATCTTCGAAGCCACACAGGCGAACAGCCTTTTAAGTGTAGTGTGTGCAACAAGAAATTTGCAGATAGTAGTAATCTCCGCTCACATCTTCGAACCCACACAGGCGAACAGCCTTTTGAGTGAAGTGTGTGCAACAGGAAATTTACGAATAGTAGTACACAAACATCTTCGAACTTACTGAGGAGAACAGCCTTTTGAGTGTACTGTGTGCAACAAGAAATTTACGCATACTACTGGTCTCCGCACACATCTCCTAACTCTCACAGGAGTGGTTTTTGAGTGTACAGTGCGTCACAAGAAATTTTCTGTGTATGTGCAACAGAAAATTTACGAATAGTAGTAATCTCCACAGACATCTTCGGACTTACTGAGGAGAACAGCCTTTTGAGTGTAGTGTGTGCAACAAGAAATTTACGCTTAGTACTGGTCTCCGCACACATCTCCTAACTCTCACAGGAGTGGTTTTTGAGTGTATACACTATACACAGTATACTGTGCGTCATAAGAAATTTTCTTGAATTTGCATTCTGCCTTTTCATGTCCGAGCCTATGACATGTAAATGTAATGTGAGTTTTTATTCTAGCATGTGACGATGAATGGTTAGTTTTATAATAATCTCTTCCTCCTGGACGTCGTTACAACGGTAGTAGCGTCTTTAATCACCCTGTATCCTGTTCATATGTTGTGCAATTGCTTTAAAATCTAAATTCCTATTCGCTCTACCCACCGCCCCTTTGTTGATTGTACCAAAAAGAGAAACCTAAATGAAGTAAACGTCTTGAATGTTTACAGCTAAGGGTGGGTGATCCGCGCCGTCATTTTTTAATGCTTATACTGTACCGAATTCTCACGTGCGGACGGGTTGCATACTCGCACAGCGCCGTAAGGCGCCATGGCGAGCGTCGGTAGGCAAGCCCGCGCGCACGCGTGAATCGGGTACAGTATAAGTGTACAGTATTAAAGTAACACGGCACGGATCACCCACCCTGGAGTTTCTGGTGGTGTACCACAGCCAGAGCCACTTTGTGCGGTGCACTCATTCATGCGACCACGTCAACAACAACGTTTGAATCAAGCTACCATATGGTCAGAATGAACACTGAACACCCCTATGAGCAGTGATGCGGGCGTGCATATCATTTCGTGCCCCAGGGGCCATGACGCAATATAAGCTGACAGAATAGGCTAACTCACAACACCGTTACACCCCGTACAACTGAACAACAGACGGTCAACTTTAGATAACTCTAACTCTTATATGCACTATTCAAGAACCAAAGACCAAAAGACAACTAATATTTCTACACGAATCGCCAACTGAATTCTGAAAATTAAAGTACTTATTACTTTGTTCACATTAGGAAAATATAATTAACATTTATTATTCAGGGGTTCGTTCCTCAGTTAACACGAAGTGTTGACGGTTTTTTAAATGAATAAAAAGTCAAGCACGCAAGAGCAATTCGTTCTATAGCGACTTTGACTTTTTTAATCAAGCTTTACAGAATATATGTTGTAAATTTATGACACGCCAATCTTACTCGTCGATGAATTGCAAGTCAATACGTAAGTTGGTGCTTGTTATTTTTCAATTTTGAATTGTAATGTTACGATACGCTTTGTGGAAATTTCCCCCCTTAAAACCTGCAACTATTTTTCTCAGGGAATGGTGGTCAATCAGGTTTATTGTCCCAATACGAGGCGATTTTCAGGTTCAGGACGCTACTGACTGTGCTGGGCCTGCCCGCTGCAAGCTGCAAGGTAAGTACGCTGCTTGCCGCTGTTGGCTTATCCACACCCCACACCTTCTGCGCGCAGAGTCTGTCGCAACCACCCTCCACCGCGCTCTCGTTGTCACCCCCGCCCTGAGGTCGCCCCGCCCGCCGGGCCCGACCGTTTCCAATCGCCGATGTCTGTCGCCGATAGTGTCGGGCGTTAACGATCGGGGCGTTGTCGTGTACATTGGAGCGACGCGCGCCGCGGCCATCGCCTGATCCTCGACGTCCAGACCAGAAAGTTCAATATAAATATTCATTGTCACATACATGAAAGTTACTCAAAACCCTTGACGAGCGATTAGAAGCCGAGACATTTCACACCTTATTTAGAAAATATATTTACCCTAGTATCCATTTGGAATCTAACTGCGTTACTTCTCTTTCGCTTCTCTTTCATAACTTTCGACACCTTTTTAGAAGGCTTATTTTTGAGCCGAAAGAAGTTATGGGAATCTCATGCTCTTTGGGGTCATCAAGTCAACTGCGGCACTAAGGGATGAAAGAGCCCTCCCTGTCGTGCGAAAAAGCGCCGCCACAATAGCCAGTCTCTTGGTGGTGATCTGGCGGCAGCAGCAGCACGGCCAATGGCGTGCCGCCCTGGATGAAATATTATTTTGCTGTAATACTTTTGACCTTAGATGACGCCAGCCTGCTCCGCTGCCCGGAGCGCCGCGCCGGCAGCTCCGATAAAGCTGACCAGACTGCAACAAAAACAATGCGGCCGTTAACGTGTACAATGCCTGTCGTCTCCGCAGCCCGTCCCTGATCTTTGCTCCGCTTGACGCGCAGTCGCCCTATGCCCTTTAATATTTGGACAAACTAGACTGGTCATCCTTTATGGCGGCGGTCAGCGCTTTTGGGGGCGCTCCACTGCTGGGATCAGGGCAGGCTGCGCGGCCGTCAGCTCCACCCCGGTGGCGGCTAGTCGAGGGCTGGCGGCCAGCCTTTAGCCGCGGTGCATGGACAGAAGTACAGTAGTGATGCATTATTATTCTAGTTGGGTGGGTGTGCAAAGGGGAAAATGAAGGTGTTAAGTCGCACCTTTTCAAATTTTTCGTGGGTTTCGCGGGGTTCAGTGCCTGTACAAAGCCATCAAATCTTCAGAGGAGAAGACACTAAGTGCTTTTTTTATATTTCCAGTTTAGGTCCAGGTCCATCCTGAAATTAGTGACGACCTGACGATTACTTCACTGTTGGAAGGTGACGTAAAGGTTCACGACGACCGCGTTATCAATTTTACCACACCGTTTGTAAATCGGAAAGTCGACTCGTAGATCGAAAAGTGTCGCCATCGCCATCATAATTCGCGTTGCTAATTTATAGACCCAACCCCAAATCCGAGGGGGTATTCACTACCATAAAACTTGTACAGAGTACTCGGTATTACACTGAATTACCTGATATTACCGGGTATTACGCCGGTATTACACGCAAAATTTTGCCAATTTATAGCATTTTTGTTATTTTTCGGTATTACATTACAAGTAATACCCAGGTGGAGTGTACAGGGTATTACGGAAGTAAATACCCCCTCGCCCAAATCGGCTTTGATTGAAATGGCGCGTGTGCGATATAACGAGGAAGAAAGCTCGGTGTGGCCTCTTCTGTTCAATTCAACTGCTCCACTGGA